TAACTAATGGGATGATTTTGGTGTGGAGATGATGAAGAATGAATTGCTCTATATATAAGCCTGGGAGAGGGAGTTGCGTAGATAGCCTGTGATTTCCGTTCCGTCGATTAAGGTGAGTGGAGGGGGCGGCTAATTTAATTCCTTCCAGTTTAGTTTGATTAAATTACCTCAATTGGGGTACACTTTTTGGTCCAACTTTATCCAAATTAAAATCCTTTTACACCGTTGCGATCAGACAGTCAAACTCTATTTAATGATATAACTTTTATATTTATTTGAAATACTTTTTCTGACAACATATTTTTGGGTGTTGACTTTGACAGAGTCAAAATTGAATTAATTGATATGTAATTAAAATTAGTCTCATATTCAATCAATATTATTAAATATAAATATTTATTTCAATAAATCATTTTACAAAAGTTCACATCTTTGACTTTTTCTCATTTTTATACAAATTACATATTTAAAATGTCATAACTGAACCTCTGTACATCAGATTTATTCATAAAATATACCGTTGGATTCGTCTCTTCGAGACCTTTCCATAAAAGTCAATCTTAACAAAAATCATTGACTCCAAAAATTCCTTTATTTTTGGTCAAACATAGAAATAATGTTTTGTTGAGTGAAAATATGGTTTCTAAAAATACTTTTATAATAGAATAACTTTTAGACCATGTTTGGGGCGTTACAATAATATTTTCTAAATATTATTAGAAATATTTTCTATAGAAATATACAAGATTATTATTATCCCAAATTTTAATCTTTATATTTTATACTACTATAATCTTTACTAGCATAAAGATTGTGGTAGACTCCGGCGTTGTTCGTGTGTCAGAGTTGGAGACCAGACACTTGAACGGTTACGCTTGCACTTTCAACGCTCTTCCTACGACTTCTTCGTTTTTACCGCTTACGGAGAAAGGTATAAATTTCTTATTTACTATAAGTTTTAGTACGTGATTCTGGGCAAGATAATCATGTTAGGATGTTAAAATATTTATATTCCGCTGCCTATCCTTGCATGGTTACCTTTCATAAACATGTTCTTGCATTTTGTGATTTCAATGAATCTCACACGGGTGATAATATTGTTCTTTTGCTTAAGCGTATTTTGAAAGAATACAATTTACTTGATAAAATTTTGCATTTGGTTTTGATAATGCTACTAATAATACTACTGCAATACCTACCTTAGATGGGTGAACTTCTATACCAAAGGTGTGCGTGTCATGTTTTAAATTTGTGTGTTCAACAGGAATTATCAGCTATGAGGGGAATCTTGACCAACATTAAAGCTGGTTTAAAATTAATTTGGGGTAGTCGTCTTCACTATCAAGCATGGAAGTCTTAGTGTAAATCTAAAGATAAAAAACTAATAGCATTTGCTAAGGACATTACGATTAGATGGAATAATACGTATAAGTTTATTGATCAGATCGTGCGGTATAAAGAAGAACTTTTTTCATTTCTTAGGTATGAACTTAATCATTGTATTGATTCCAATGAATTTCTTATTGTTGAAAAATTGAACAACATTTAGAGGTTTTTAATAATGTCACTCTTACTTTCTCGCATGCTTATAAACCTACGACAAATAGATTCTTTTTTGAGTGTATTGTCATTCCTACATGTTTTCGTGAAAGTTTTTCTGATATAAATTTGTACTCTTATGTGTATCCTATGAAGGATAAATAGTGTGCTTATTATTTATATATTTCTTATATTTATAAAATTGGTTTTATTTGAAATCCAGACTTTTAAATTGAGAATTATAAAATTCTTTTGAGTATTATTATAGTTGTTTTTAGATGAAAATAGTTATTTTTATGACTAATTAGTAGAATGGACAAAAGAAAGAGAAAATATTATTGCTATTTTTGAGTCCTTATTAAAGAATTTCAAGTTACATTCAGTAGTCGACCCGAAGGAACTCAAGGAACAGCAGCTCCTCTTGTCCCGAAGATGAAAAAAGGTTTTTAGGGGATCGTCAGTGACCTCTTGGCAAAAAAGGTAAGCGTCGCTTTGTTGATGAGTACAAGTGGTACAAGTGTAAATTCGCACAACGAACTTGCAATGTACCAAGACATTGCGACTACGACAAAGACAACGATATCGAGTTCGACATCCTCGAATGGTGGAAGGAAAGTGAAAACATGTTCCCGTCACTCGGAATGCTATCTAGATAAGTGTTATTTATGCCAGTTTCAATTGCAGCTGTGGAGCAAGAGTTCAGTTCTAGCGGCAAATTCTAACCAACTACGGAAGTTGCCTTAGCGCTGAATCGCTTGAAACACTTGTTTGCAACCGAGATTGGCTCTTGGCAAGACGTCTAGCATAAGAGGCAAGCTACGACATTCATACACAAAATTACATGGATGCAACTACGGAGGAAAGTGATTGTTCCGAGGATTAAATTTGTATCTTTTATAAAAATGTAATTAATTTTTTTAGGTGAGCGTTTTATAAGCTCTTTCGAGGGTTTCTTTACGTTTCTTTACTTCTCATTTTTTGAACCGTCAGAATAATAAATGTAGTTGTAATTTCTTCAACATTCTTCATTTAAATAACAACCACATTATTAGAATTCATTTGTAAGAACTTATAAATTTCTTTTACATTGCATATTATTCATTTATTAGAATATTATATTTATGTATTAAAATATTTGATTTAAAAAAACTGTGAATCGATCCGAAATCGGAGTGGGAATTGCCCCTCCAGTGCCGGTTACGATGCCTCTTCTCGGCGGTTCCGATTACTGGAATCGTATTGTGTCCACGCCTACCTTCGTCCAACAATAATATTCTCGTTGCGCTACAAAACTAGAGATGACATGACTATATAATTTTATAAAGTAGGCAACGAAAATACGCTAACAAAGTGAATAAAATTTGACTTGTGACTAACAAACAAAAACATGAAAAAATATATTTTGGGATATATAGACTAATTTAGGGAGATGCTCGGGATACACTCCTGTACCCAAATGTACACCACATGCCTCTTTACCATTTTTTATTTTGTTTTTATTTATTTATTTTAAATTTTACATGCAAATTTTGTGATTATGGAGGTAGTGGGGGATATTTGGAGTACACCACTTTATGGAGGTGATGGGGAATATTTGGAATGGGAGATGCTAGGGGTAGGTGTACCCCATTTGTCCCTCACCCCCTCCATAATCACTCATTTGTATTTGATTTTTATTTACTTATTTTTTTAATTTTCTTGCCTATTTGAGTGGTTATGGAGGGGTGGGGGACAAATGGGGTACACCTTTGGTGTACGAGTTGGTATATGGTACATCCGAATGTACCTAGAAATAGGTACATCCCGGTAGTATTTATTCTGAAATAAAGTAGTACTCATTCTCGTATAAATATAAACATTCATTTCGAAATACATAGTACTCATTCTGGCAAAGGTAGTACTCATTTTAAATATAAAGAAGTACTCATTTTTACATATTTGTCTAATATAATTATAATAAATAGTGTAGTATTCATTCTTAAAAAAACAATACTCATTCTCAAATAAAGAAATGTTCATTCTGAAATAAAGTATTGTTCAATTTTTTCACAATTAAAAAGTTGAGTACCATCATCAACTTCTTCCTCTATTCGATTCGTTCCTACTCATTTGTACTCTCTGAGCATGGAGAATTTAAAACCTAGGTTTATTCATGTTTGTATTGAATAAGAATATGATAATTTTCATAAGTGTTGGTACTCCTTCTCAAATCTGCCGGTACTCATTGTCATATATAATAGTTCTCATATATATGTTATGGGCATTGGATAAAAAGTTTGTAAAATTTACAAAAATACCAGGATGTGCCTAAAAGAAGGTACAACTGGATGTACCATATAATTTGCTTTGGTGTACCATTTTCCATTTGGAATACACCTTGGATAAAGCTACTTGTACCCCAAATTTGTGTACCCCATTTGTACACCGCAGGTTTACATCAACATTTTATGTCAGTGTAAAACTAATTTTTATTAACGCACCAACACTTTGTGTCCGTGTAAATTTTTGTTAACACACCAACGCTTGTGTCGGTGTAAACCATCAAAATGTTTGTACATAACTGCAGTGTACAAATAGGGTACAAATTTTGGTGTAAGTTTAGCATGGTCCATACACCTTTGGTATACTCCTATTATTTTCCTATAATATATTATGTTTATATATTTTGGAATATAGAAAATATAAATCGTAAATTGTATATATACACACGAAAAAGAGTTTTTAGTTTTAAAATTGGGGAGCCCGACAAAGCGGGACTTCCAAAAATTGACGGGCAAACCAAACCAATGTAGGGCAAAGCTCACTCGCCATAAAAAATTGTGTTCGTCAACGTGGGTATCGGCACGACCCGCCGGTCACTTCTCGATCATTAACGGGTCATCCTCACCCCCGACAGGACGGGTTGAATTTTTTCACTTATGGGCGCACAGCATAAATAGGAATCATAATTTCCCAACTCACTAACTGCACCGGTGTGGGAACTGGGAACACGACGGAAAAATGTGTTTATCAATGCCCTCTACGGTTAAATAAAAAATCGAAATTTTCTACTCTGTGAAGTGCTCCGGTGTGGGAAGCATTTCTGATTGTTCTCTTCATTCCTCCCCATTGTTAATAAACAAATTAAGGATAGAAGACGAGATCTTCAACCATGTCGGAGCTTTGTTCCACACTTTCCCTCTTCACGGCCCGCACTCCCTTCTGTTCTCTTCCAACCCGCTCCCTAATTCCGACCTCCGTCCGCCACCGCCGTCGCCCCTCCCTGAATTTCACCCGCCGGCGTTGCCTTTCAACCGCAGCTCGGTCTTACCGCGAATTTGAAACGGATGCTGATGAATTGCTTGAAATGGAGGGGTCTGGCGTTGAAGAAGAGGAGGAAGACAGCCTCGATATCGATGCCTTCGAACGCGAAGCTGACCAGGCTGTTCGAGAGTTCTCCCAGTCTTTATCTCGGCAACTAAGAATGGGTTTGCTTTACCCTTTTTCTCCTTCATGTTCATCGAGGCAACTTATCTGTATTATGTAAACTAGCTTATCTATTTATTGTGGTATTATTGTATTGGGGAAATGGCTATAACTGCACACTCTATGTTTAAGCCATTATCTTCCTTTCCTCCCAATTATGTGGTCCATTGAATATTACGTTCCTTTAAGATGTGAATAGTTTATTGACGGTTCTGATAAGCTTAAAAATCAAAATGGTGGAACTCAGATGCTGTTGTATTATTGAGGTTGCAATGCAAATTCAGTTCTTCTGAGCAATGAGGCTTTCTAGAACATATCTGGACATTGAGCTTCTTTTTTCCCCCAATTTCAGAGGATGAAAGACTTGGAGCGAAAGAAGCACGGGAGCAGAAAGGAACCAAAAGTACCATAGGTCGGGTGAGTGACTTTTATTTTGTTCATTTTTTTTCATTTTCCTTTCATGCATCTACAGAGTGAAATGCCCGAAAAAATGCTGCCAAACTTTGGTTTTATTTTCTATTTGAGTTGATTTTGTTTTTATACCTACATATATTGCTACTATAGCTTTCAGAACAAATTTTTACTTTAGCCAACAGGCATGCAATTTACATTGCTTCTAGATCGTAAAGGTAAAATGCGTCTTATATATTTTTCTGATAAGAGAATTGTTTCTTCAGGTCCCAGATCGTCTCCTTCCAAAGGTTGTGATTGTTGGCAGGCCAAATGTTGGGAAGTCAGCATTGTTTAATAGACTTGTTGGAGTAAATATATAATCCAAACCTCAAAATTTCTAGATTGAGTTTTTTAGCAACTATGAGACACATCTCTTCAATGTGGAAATTGCACACGATTTTCTTCACACACTGTATCTCTAAGTTAATATGAAGAATATTTCCCATCATTTTCAGGGGAAAAGGGCCATTGTGGTCGATGAACCTGGGGTTACCCGGGACCGCTTATATGGAAGATCGTTTTGGGGAGAAAATGAATTTATTGTCGTGGATACAGGGGGCGTTCTTACTATCTCAAAGTCTCGGGATGAAGTGATAGATGAGTTGGATATCTCAACAACTATTGGAATGGAGGGGATTCCGCTCGTAATCCGGGATGCTGCTGTTGCCAGAATGCCTTCAATGATTGAAAGACAAGCTACGTTTGCTGTTGAAGAATCATCTGTCATCATATTTCTTGTTGATGGACAGGTATGATCTTTAGTTTGTAGATTTGGCAATTAATGAACCCACAGACTTGAGTTCCTTATGCAGTTTTAAAACGTAAAATTTTGTGAACAGATAGACTTCAACATGCAAGAAATGTGTTTGTCGTAATGTCTTGTCTGCAAGTGAAGTCATAGTGGCATAATCACACTCTTCATACAGGCAGGTCCAACTGCTGCCGATGAAGAAATAGGGGACTGGCTGCGTAAGAACTATTCACATAAGTGTGTGATTCTTGCTGTTAACAAATGTGAATCTCCACGTAAAGGAATCATGCAGGCATCAGAATTCTGGTCTTTGGGGTATGGATAATATTTCTTATTTTTTTGTTGTAACTTGTACCATGTAGGTAATATTGACACTAAATATTAGAATAATGTACACTACCACATAAGTTGTATGTTGGAGAGTGTGGCCGATAGCATTTGATTGATTAGTACATAAACATGGCACTGGAGTTTTAAATTCATATTGCATGGTGCAATTGTCCGAGCGAATGCATGCTGGTGTTTTGTCAAGTAATGGACAAGTGTGCCAAATTAGAAGTTGGTATGAGCTGGAAACTATTCCTTATCCTTGCCACTATCTTAAATCACCTTTTATGAAATGTAAACAACAAATAGGTGGCAACTTGCCAGCTTTGTGGTGACTTCTTTAAAACAGAAAACTAAAGAAAGGCAATCAATGGAAAGGTTTCGAGTTTGTAATCCAACTGGACTGATTTAGCCCATCAAAGAGATTGTTTTTGCACACATCCATTTCCATACTGGATTAAAAGTAACTCACGATCCTGAGATGACATCTTACTAACGGCTTCTTCCAGCTCATGGTGGCATGGTGCTGCCTTCCATTGCTTTTCAATTTTGTTTTTTTCTTTTTCCTGTTTTTCAAAGCATAATGCTTTTTTCGGATTTTATATTAATGTAAACCATATTTTTGATTGATTTTCGTCTTTGAGAATTTTCATTTCTTCGGTAATCAGGTTCTGTCCACTTCCAATATCAGCTATATCTGGGACGGGAACTGGTGAGCTTTTAGATCTTGTTTGCTCTGGATTAGAGAAAGTTGAGGTAATTTCTTAGTTGTAGTTTAAAATGCATTTGGAATGCTTTTTTGTTCTACATTGTTACACCTCACGGAGAGTAGTTTAGTGTAAGTACCTTTTGTGCATTCTGATGCTGAATTGTTACAAACTTATTAGTGGCTGGAATGAGGGGAGAGCAGACTGCAACAAGCTTTCCATAATTAGAGTCTGCACTTCAACAGTTCAACCATAATTTTATTAATAGAGGTGTTGAGTATAAGTAGGCAAAGCCTTACAATACCTTAATCATACAAGGAATTATAAGAAAAAGAATCTCCTAGGAGTACTAAGTGCATGCTTGGAAACAACTTCACTGTTTTGAAAAGGCTATCTAATGGCAATATTTAGCTTTAGCATTTTTAGAGTTAATCTCCACCATTAAAGAGTTATCCAAAATGTTGATGCTAATCGAAAATGTTGTTCCAAAAAAGGCTTATGTTCTTAACTAAAGAAATAAGAATACTAAAAGGAAACTATGACTAGCTATTGATAATAATAATAATAATAGTAATAATAATAATAGGAAACCAATAGTTTTGCTACTAAAATAAAAATAACAACAACAACAACAATTATAACCGTATCACAATCTCTTTCTTGGACAATTCTTCCGACGCAATTACTAATGACTTTCAGCTATATAGGAGACCTCATTTGTACATTCACTATTTCTAGTCAAATAATAAAATACTATTGGTAGGCATGCACAAAGTAAAGAGGAGATGCAGTGTTCTTTTGTACATTCTTCTTTTAGTGAAATAATAAAATGTTGGGTGGTTTGTTACTTCTTAACTTCTTTCTTTTAATACAAGTGAGTAAATCAGAAGAGGATTTCATGCAATCTATTGCTCAGGGCACAGAAGTTCTTGAGGATGAAGAAAAATGCCCGATTTCAGTTGCAATAGTTGGTCGTCCAAATGTGGGGAAAAGCAGTATTTTAAATGCCTTGGTTGGGGAAGACAGAACAATTGTTAGTCCCATCAGTGGAACTACACGTGATGCTATCGATACAGAATTTACTGGATCAGATGGACAGGTATTTTTATCTTCTCTTTTAAGGGAATTATAGAACCTGGTTGCCTTGAACCAGAAAACTGGCATTTAAAATAATTTATGCTGTGTGAACATCAGGAGAGCAAAATAAGTACGTCTTGCTTGAAATATTCTCACTGATGTCAGACAAATTTGAGTCAAATATTAGGGTGGCTGAAGTGATAGTTTTACACTGGAAGTGATAGAGTTTACGGTTCTGGTAAGTGTTATGTGTTACACCAAAGTAATATGTTTTGCGGATTGAGATCTGTGAGGCAGTCTCTGATAACAACTCAAGGAGATTTCTCAAGGAGAAGGAGAATCTCATGCAGTTGTTAAAACTGAAAGAAACAGAAAAGAGTTTAGAAAGAGATTGAAATGTATTTTCTTACTCTCCAAGTCATATCTTCCAGCCCTATTTATGAGCCCACCACTAATACAAGTCCATTAGCCCAATTACTTATTACTTACAAGCATAGTAAAAATAGTAAGGTAAAAATACTAAGTAGTGGTGTCCCGTATCATTCATTCCCCCTTAGCAAGCTTTGTCCTCAAAGCTGGAACCCGGGAAATTTCAGAGTAAAAGCGTCTGACCATACCCACGTAGCATCTTCCTCGGGGACTCCTTGCCATTTGACCAGTAGTTGCACTCCCACCTGGCGACCTCTTTTTTGCATTCTTCTGTGGAGGATAACTTCAGGTTTAGGGTGTTCTTGCAGATCCAAGCCATGGAACCAAGAAGGAATGTGAGGTGTGGCTGGTAAGTCTCCTTGGGATGCCTTAAGTTGAGAGACATGAAAAACTGAGTAAACCTTCACTTCAGGAGGCAATTGCAGTTCGTAGGCCACCTTTCCCACCTTAGAGATAATCTGAAAGGGTCCAAAATACTTTGGTCCCTGCTTCTCATTAAACCTCTGCTGCACGCTGCATTACCTGTAGGGTTGGAGCTTGTGCCACACCCAGTCTCCCAACTCAAATTGCATATCATGTCTGTGTTTGTTGGCCATCTGTTGCATTCTATTTTGTGCCCTTTGCAGCTGAACATTCAATAGCTTGATCATTTCTTCCCTCTTTTGTAAAGATCTGTCCACTGCTTCGACCATAGTTTCTCCCAGAAGGTAGGGTAGGTGGATGGGGGGAGGTTGACAATGTATTGCTTCATAGGGACTAGGGAGTCATTTGGGTGGATGAGTGGAAGGTAGTGTGGTACCACCTCTCAGCCAATGGAATCCACTTACACCAGTCCTTTGGATTGCTAGAGCACATGCATCGCAGATAAGTCTCAAGGCATCTTTTAACTACCTCATTCTGCCCATCAGTTTGAGGGTGGTAAGAAGATGACCACAGCAGATCTACACCTTGATTGAATTGAGAACAATGCCTGCCAGAATTGGCTCAGAAAAACTGCATCCCTGTCACTTACTATGGTGTTAGGCATACCATGTAACTTGAACACATTGTCTAAGTAACATTGAGCCACTTCCAACAATGTGTAGGGATGAGACAACACCATGAAATGAACATACTTACTCATCCTATCTACCACCACAAATATAACATCCTTGCCCATTGACTTTTGCAACCCCCCTATGAAATCTATGGACACATCCTTCCATACTTCACTAGGTATCTGTAGTGGTTGAAATAGTCCAGGGTAAGCAGCATTATCATACTTGCAAGCCTGGCAATCCAAACACCTTCTCACAAAATGAGAAACATCCTTGTTCATTCCCTTCCAATAAAACATGTTCTGTAGTCTCCTTAGAGTTGTTTCTCTGCCAGAATGCCCTGCTGTAGGTGAGGAGTGACCCCATTGCAGTAGTTTAGTCTTAAGAGCCTCATCAGGGCCTACCACCAATCTTCCCTTCCTCCTTAAGTGATCTTGCCCCCAAGTGTAGTGTGCTACTTGCTTTCCTTGTTGTAATTGGTGGATGTACTCTTGCAGTTTGGGACTCAAGGACCAACTGTGTTTAATAATTTCAAGCAAGGAGCTTTCCTTGTTGTAATTGGTGGATGTAGCTCTGCTTCATGGTGTTGAACACCTCTTTCAAATGGTGATGATGAGTTTCCCGTGTAGGACTATATACTAGGATGTCATCAAAAAATACCAAGACAAATTTCCGGAGATGCATTTTGAATTCCTGATTCATCAAACCTTGGAAAGTGGCTGGAGCATTTGTAAGTCCAAATGGCATTACCAAGAACTTGTAATATCCATTGTGAGTCTTGAATGCAGTTTTGTAGACAATTAGACATCTTGGGCCCCTACTCTTATTGGTGATATCCAGCCCTTAAATCAATTTTGCTGAAAACAGTTGCCCCTGCTAACTCATCAATCAACTCATCTACCACTGGCATTGGAAATTTGTCCTTGATGGTCTGTTTGTTGAGTTCCCTATAATCCACACAAAGCCTCCAGCTACCATCCTTCTTCTCAACTAAGAATACTGGTGAGGCATAGGGACTGCAACTATTTTGTATTATTCCCCTACTTTCCATGTCTGCCACCAGCTGCTCAATGATATCCTTTTGTTTGATAGGATATCTTTCTGATTGGTGAACACCACCTGTAATAGACACAATTGGTTAGAGGTGCTCATTGCTTTTGCTACCTTCCCAGATTCTATTATAGAGACATGTTGCTTCCTTCCTCTCAACACATGTCTGTTACATTTGTATAAGAACTCCATTTCCAATTTACTGAAATCCCATTTCACAGGTCCTAAAACCCTTAACAACACCTAGCACCACATCACATCCACCCATAGGTATAAGTAACATGTCAGACTGAAATTAATGTAGCTCTGTACAAAGTCCACTCAAACCTGTTGCGCACATACTCACACTAGAGCTGGTTCCCATCAGCCACTATGACTGACTTGGTTGCAATACGCTCCAACTTGCAACCTAATTTCTTAGCCAATGAAATGTCCAAAAAGTTGTGTGTGCTTCCAGAGTCAATGAGAATATGCAGGGGTTTCTGAGCATAATATCCTGTAACTCTCATTGTTTGAAATCCTTGATTACCAGTGATGGCATTTGCTGAGATAAAAGGATTGGGAAACTCCATCTGACAGTCTGTGTCCCAACCCATTGATTCATCCTCTGCCCCATCTTCTCCATTAACTTCAACCAAAACCAGTTGAGTCCCTTTGCTCGAGCATTTATGACCTTTCTAAAAAGGCTTGTCATAATAATAGCACAGACCCTTAGCCATTTTTTCTGCCATAACTGCTGCAGGTATGAATTTAGGCTGATTTACCACATGCAATGAATTGGTTGGTTTGGTAGTATTAGGGGTAGGCAACAAGCCTTTGTTGATATTAATCACAGGCCTACTTGCTTTGTCCTGTACCTTAATGGCATGCACAGTTTCTTCCTGGCATCAAGCATACTCAATGGCTTCAGCCTGAGATAGCGGTTTGAAGGCCCTTACATATGCTTTCAGGTGGGGCTTGAGACTCCCAACAGAGCTGTCTACGAAGTGGTCAGCAGGGAGATGAGGAATATTCGTTAACATACACGCCGTCAACTCTTCAAATTTATCAACATAATCCTCAAGACTATCTGTTTGCTGTAACTTATTAAATTCTTCCACAATTTTCGATCCCATCTCATCCTTAAACCTGGCACTCACATCCACCACAAAATCCTCCCACATAATTTGGTTTCGCCCCATAACATAACTACTATACCATATCTCAGCTTTTCCAGTCATGTATAACGAAGCAAGATCAACTTTCTTAGCATCCGGAATTTGACACAACATAAAATTTTTCACACTTCTTAATCCAAATCGGCACATTAGATCCATCAAATTGAGAAAATTCTACCTTTGGATTGAAAAGTAGCTGTCTGAGATTCTGATCACTGGTTCTTCCTGGCTGATTCTGATTCTTTCCCAAGGATGAAGACGACTCTCCATGCGCCATCGTCTTGATTTATTCCATCATCTGTCCGAACAAATTCTGTTGTTCCTCGATTCTCTAATTCGGTCACTCCATTTGAATGGCGAATGTCTTTTGTCTGGAGATTTGAATGGATTCTTGTGGGAAATTTTGAAAAGTTTCTGTTTTCATGTAGTTTAGTGTAGCGTGCTTTTGTAATGTTACGAGGCAAGAGCATTTTTATGATATAGTTTGTGCATCCAAAGGAAATACTACGAAAGGATTAGGTTTGAATTTAAGAATTTGATCAAGTACTGACAGATCATTTAGACACAGTTCAGGTACTTTCCAATTGCAACTTATTGGCATCTTTCTAATAAAAAACCAGTTTTTTTGAGAAAAGGCAAGGAGGGAAGAGTCATTGACTAACTCTTTTTGCAGAATTATTATTGTATTTTTATTGTAGCATCATCTTGTTTCGAGCTCCCCACCTTCTCAAGCAATGTGATTCTTCAATTTTCTGATAATGAAGTTCTAAAAAGAAAGCATGCACTAGGCATGTACCAATTTGCTTCTAGACATGCTGGTAAATATTTAGCAGCGCTCACTGAAAATACCGTCGATACATCTGACTTTGTTGGTTTCATTGGTTTTATTTAAATTAGAAGATAATTTAAATTTGATTGGTCTTTTTTTTCTGCAGAAATTTTGCCTCATTGATACCGCAGGAATAAGGAAAAAAGGAGCTGTGGCTTCATCTGGAAGCATAACAGAAGCTTTATCAGTAAATCAAGCATTTCGTGCAATTCGGCGTGCAGATGTTGTGGCTCTTGTTATTGAGGCTATGGCTTGCATAACTGAGCAGGTAGATCATTGTTTATTTATTATCTATAATTGTTTACTTAATGAGAGGTGAAAAGTTGTTTGAACAGTGAACAGTGGGGTTGAGGGTTACTCAGTATGATGTTTCTTAATTTGAATTATTCAGTTATTTGTTGGCTCTGTCCTTTTGGTTTGAAAAAATATAGTTGGATGTTGGAAGAAGCTAGAAGGAGTTGAAAGAAATTTTAAGGAGTTGTCAAAAAAAAATTGAAGGAGTTGGAGGAAACTGGTAAGAGTTGGTAAAATGTGCAAGAGTTAGAAGAAAGTAAGAGTTAAAATAATCTAGGAGTTCGAAGAAACTAAAGGAGTTGGTATGAGGAAAAAAATTGGAAAAGTAAAAAAAGATTTGAAATAAGTATTATAAAAAAGAGTTCGTAGTTTGGTGTTTTAATTGTTGATTAAGTAACTGATGTTATAGCTGTCACAATCACCCGAGAGCACTGTCAAAACACTCTAGACTCTAGAGTTGTCATTTGTGACTTTATGATGTTGTTGGTGACTCTTATAGCCTAGAGGGATGTCACAAGCAAAAAGCGCTTCTTTTATTTTGTTTTCTTTTCTTCGGCTCGATTGGATTATTTTGTGAACTCTTTGTTTCCATGAATTTTGTTGCATAAAAACTATGTTTTCCCTCTCTTTTCTTTGGATGCATAACTTTGTGAGTTCATTGTTTTCATGGCTATTATTAAGGATTGGAAGATTGCAGAGAGGATTGAAAAGGAAGGAAAAGGTTGCGTCATTGTTGTGAATAAGTGGGACACAATTCCCAACAAAAACCAGTCCACTGCAACCTACTATGAGCAAGATGTTAGGGAGAAGCTTCGTCTTCTTGGTTGGGCACCAATTGTATATTCAACAGCAATCGGAGAGCATAGTGTTGATAAGTATGTTTTCTTGATAAGATTATTTTAACTCTTTCTGCCTGACCATATTGGATTTTGTTAGGGATCTGAAGAGATCCCTGAGATAGATAGATTAAGAACCCCCCTCTTCCCCGTGGCTTGAAGAGGAAGAGCATTTTGATTGAGGGGACGAAGGTGAGTTGCAAGTCATAAAAACACGGAAGTCGGAAGCAGTAGTTGAGTCTAGACATGGCAGCCTTAAATTATGAGGATATGGGGATCTCCGATAAGGGTCTGCAGTCATGGGATTACGGTATTAGATCCCTAATAGGGTTCAAGAGCAAGTGATTTTTGGGGTTGAAATCTTGGCCCCGTAGTCAGGTGTGCGTTGGGTGGTCCCTTTTACCCTCTGCTCACTTTCCTTCATTTAACATCATTGGCATTGCATGTCAATGGATACTGCTCACCGTCCCCGATCCCTATCCAGTGGGATGCACTTGATATGTTTGGTGCTGTAGATACATTTGTTGGCATACGGAAGTTTTTTTTGTGTGTGTGCAACACTATATGTCTATATGTAGGACCACTTCTAGTGAAGCTTATGATGGTTTTATTTTCCATTCTACTTGAATCTTTTTCTGAAGCTTATTATTCTGATGGTTTTCTAATGGCCATAATTAGCAATTGTTTGATCATTTTTTTCATTTATTTGGTTTATTCACGTAATGCGGATACTAAGGGTCCTTTGTGGTTGCACTTTTTAGTTTCATTGTAGTAAACTCAAAAAAAAAAGATGCATCAGAATAAGAACTGAATTTTGAGGATTTAGATATTTATGGTCAATTAGCAATTTATGCAAATGAAACTATAATGTGAATATTTGGTTAATTCATTGCGTAGTCCCTTCACCTACTGAACTTTAATCACTTGATTTGATCCAGAATCATTTATACTGCTAACATCGTTGAAAAAGAAAGATCAAGAAGATTAACCACGTCAATATTGAATCAAGTAATATGGGAAGCCATGGCCCTCAAATCACCTCCAAGGACCCGAGGTGGGAAGAGGGGTCGTGTATATTATTGCACTCAGGTACTTATCTAACAGGACCTAGTATTTAATCTTATGACTGGCAAATCTCTCTTTCAAGTTTGAAGTAGCCTTGCAGCAATTTGTCATTGACAGAATATGTGCACGGAAAGTAGCTGTGCTAATAATTTCTTTAAAAAAAAGGTTTACTGGCTACTAATTGTTTTTTTTTTTGTTTGACAACCTTACAGGCTGCTATTAGGCCACCTACATTTGTCTTCTTCGTGAATGATGCAAAACTTTTCCCTGAGACATACCGACGGTACATGGAAAAGCAGCTGAGATCAAACGCCGGGTTCTCAGGCACACCTATTCGGCTTCTCTGGCGCAGCAGAAGGAAAACTAAAGGTTGATAGTTCGTATAAACACCCAACAGGTGTTTGTGGGGATCTAACTTCATCATCCTCGCATATTCATAGGAGGCGATGATAGAATTCCTAGTCATGTCTTTTAGTGTTTTTGTGTACCAAAAGGCATAAATAGCGTTCTTGTGTACTGTAGAATAGAACACTGTTTGAGAAAATGCAGGGAAAGTAAAATTCTTAACATTGAGCTACCCTGTACTGTGTTTGAGAAAGGGCATACAAGAGTTCTTATGGAACCATTTAAATTAGTGAAATTTGTGCTAAATAAAACTAAAACATAAGTCATTTTCCAACATAAAATTTAAATTTTTTATTCCCTAAATAGTATTCGGGTACTTAATAATGTTTTGTGGCAGCAATGTCCAATGATGGTGGACATTTTTACTTGAATAATGACTAGTGATAATGATCAATAGTCCTACATTGGAAAATAAAAATATATGGTTCTATATTGAGAAAGTATTTATATTTTAGTCCTATTTAGGTAAATTCTCCTTTAAAATGTACTGTGTGCCCAGTTAAAAATAGATTTGAATCTCACCTCAATGCAAACTTAAGTGGTGCTTCTCTGTGTTGCTCTTTATTGAACTATTAGATAAGTAGTTTTTAACTTATACTTATAAGTAAAAAAAATACTTCCTCCGTCCTAAAACTTTCTTCCTGTTGCGCAAAACGAAGAAAAATCCCAATTTTTTTCAATCTATTTTATTTAAATATTGGTATAGAAATAAAAAATAAAACATACATATTTAAAAACTACATCAAAAGTTCAACAAAACAAGTGGTGACAAGAATATTTTATTTTATTATCTAGGCCATGAAAAAACACAAATAAATATAAATTCTCGTGAAATTGGAATAGTGCTCTGGGAAGAAAGTTTTAGAACGGAGGGAGTAATGTAAATAAAATGACTTAAATAATCTATAAATCATTTGGAGATATTAATAATAGGAGAGAGATGGTTTTGTAAGTAATCTAGTCAAAACTGAGAAATGAAAAAATTGGCTTAAAAAAGTAAGACTTATTTATTTTTTCTGAGCACAGAGAAATGCGACATTTGTTGATTTATAAATAAAAAATAACTTATAAGCAGTTTTGACCAGTTTATAAGTACAAAGAAACACTTGATTACACTATGTTTGGTTCAAGGAATTTGAAAGGAAAAATAAAAGAAAATGAGTAGAAAATAGATTTTCTTGTTTGGTTAGAGAGGAAAAGTAGAAAGAAAAGAAAATGAGAAGGCCAATACTAAGAGGTGAGAAAACCAAATTCATTTTATTTTGGTGTGGAAATTGAGAGAGTCATTTTCTTTTCTTTTCCTTCCAAATTACTTGAACCTGTTAAATATATCAATTATTTAATATATTTAATATTATATATTATAATTATGGTTGTTACCTATTATACTTAGAATTATTATTATATAATGTTACCTTATATAATTAGTCATTAATGTGAAGGATTCTAGAATATATTCCTCCACCTATAAATACATACTTTGTATTCCTCTTCTATTCATTCAAGCTATAAAGCATTATTTGTTATTTTTACATGGTATCAGAGCCACCATTCTTGGTGACCTAAATTTCTCCGCTTTCGCTCTCGGCGGGCGGCACCGCTATTAACTGCCGCCCGCCGTATCACTGTTTTCCTCTGACCCAAATTCTTCACCATCTCCTAAAACAACAAAGTTTCCTAGTTTTTTTGTTATACAAAAAAAAACTCTGTTATAGTCACCGACATCTCTAACGCCATCCTCTTCTCCTAATCGTCGCAGCTCTAACCGGCGACCCCTACTCCACCAAACTACTGGCGCCAAGATCATCACCTCAACCTGCTTAGTGGGTAGATCTTCGGTCAACATGCATCTCCGACAATACCTCATTCCTTGTGTTTCTTCTCTAACCCAGTCGCGCACAACTCTAGCGCGCGTCAACCTTCTCCCTCTTTCGACGTCAGCAGCATGAGTCTGTTCGCAGCGGCTTTTATCCTCTCCTCATCAACACCGTCACATCTCTTTCCTGGCAATCTTTCTTCTTTTTCTCTTCTATGCCGGATGCATTCAGTCTACTCTAGCCAAAGATATGCCTCTAGCTTTTGATTACAATTATGGTCACGATTCAAGTAAAGTTGGCGTTCAATCTTCACCGTTCAGGATGTTGGGAGCATGTTAAATATATCAATTATTTAATATATTTAATATTATATATTATAATTATGGTTGTTACCTATTATACTTAGAATTATTATTATATAATATTACCTTATATAATTAGTCATTAATGTGAAGGATTCTAAAATATATTCCTCCACCTATAAATACATACTTTGTATTCTTCTTCTATTCATTCAAGCTATAAAGCATTATTTGTTATTTTTACAAAACCAAACATAATGTTAAGTGACCTTGAGGATTATGAAAGAAAGGAATATGTCTCGCAGAAAATTCTGGAATAGAGTATTGTTAGAACTTTTTAGAGGGGGGCGAGAATGTTTAGTTTTTGAAAACAAACTAGACTCGAACCCGTGCGTTGCACGGCCTAAATAAAAGTTAAACAATTAAGGAAAGTATTGATGTTGGAATTCGATATGATTCAATTAACATATGAATATATTATGAAATATTTAAGAAGATGAAGTATACAATGATATAGATTGTGGAACTATTACATTATAAGTTTTTGGAAAACTTCTTTATAAACTACATTTGTAGTTTGGTTCATCTTGGATGGGTCATCATTGCATATCAAGGTCTTTAAACCTTTGCGATTTGTGACATGTGAAAGCGCTACATAAAGTTGTCCATGGCTGAATACTGACTTCTTTGGTAAAAGTCCAACATGCGACAATGATTGCCCTTGACTTTTATTAATTGTCATTGCATATGAAATCATAATTGGGAATTGTTTCTTTTGAAACTTAAAAGGAATTCTTGTATTTGACGGTGTAAGCAACAACCATGGGATAACAACTTGTCCAATATGTTTCCCCGTAAGCACTGTAGCTTGAAAAAGATGATTGCCAAGTCGGGTAACAATCAACCTTGTTCCATTGCACAAACCAGAAGATTGATCAATATTCCTCAACAACATGATTGGTATTCCGATCTTTAACTTCAACTCATGGTTTGGTACACCAGACGCTCGTATGTTATTTGGACTTATGATGGAGAACAAATATTCTTCACATACTACAACCATGTATTTATTAATTTAGCCCAAGTTAATTTTATCGGCCCAAAGATTCGGCCCAAGTTTAAAATTGAATATTAAAAAAATGTATTTATAAGGTATTAAAAAACTTAGACTATATTTAAAAAAAATCCAAATAAAAACAACCCAAATTTTTGGCTCGGGCCCAATATTGCTTCATAGTTTGCTTAACACCTCTATGGGTTTATCTAGGACCGTAAAGCTCCACCAACATTATCTTATCTGTCGCCGTCTCCTACGCCTCTCTACATCTCTCTAGAAAAGCTTCTATTGCCGGCAATGGAGTTTACAGTACTCCAGTTGCCGGCGATAAATATTTCCCATCTCTTACATCTCTTTACAAAATGGGAGTTTGCTAGAATTCAAGTTGAAGTACAGATCCAGCAAGAATTCCCTGAGCAGATTCAGTTTGTGGATTTAGAAGGGAGAGTGATTTCACATGAAGTTGTGTAGAGGATTTAACAAAAGTGAAAATGACAGCAGAGAGTAGTGATGAGAAGAGCAATGAGAATACAAACCAGGAAACCATAAGAGAGGAAGTACAAGAAGGCTTCCCGTTGGTGAATAAGAAGAAGAGTATTAGAATGATGACCTTGGATGAGATGTTACAAAGTGGGGGGGACATCCTTAGAAATGCCCCATATTCTAGTCACTACCCCTTCTTATCATGATGTTGTGCTGCAACATTAGGGGCTTAAATAGCCCAAATAAACAGTGGGAAGTTAAAAATATAATTCATAAGTATAATGTCAATTTGTTGGGCATTTTGGAGACCAAAATAAAAAGAGAAAACGAAGAGGATATTTGTAATAAAAATTTCAGTGGATGGAGTACTTTTACCAATATAGAGTATCATCCACTAGGCATAATATGGGTTGTATGGAACAAGAGGAAGGTTGATGTACAAGTAGTGGAAAGTGATGCACAATTTGTACACTGCAAAGTAAGAAGCAACGAATTTAAGGAGCACTATTGGATAACTTTCATTTATGCCTTCAATGACATTAAAGGAAGGTTGTCTCTCTAGAGTAAGCTTAAGGATCTTGCTGAAACCATGGCTGAAACCATGGTGCTGCATAGAAAATGAGGGTTTCAGTTATAGAAGAGGAAATTAAGGACTTTAGGGAATGTGTGATGGAGTGTGGGTTGGAGAAAATCCCATTTGTTGGACTTTACTACACATGGTCCAACAGACAGCAAGTTGAGAGTAAAATCTTCTCAAAATTGGATAGAGCTATGGCTAATGTAAAATGGATGATGAAACTTGGGGCTAAAACAAGAGTGCTAAATGAAGGGATTTCTGATCACTCTCCCTTACCAGTGTCCAGAATAGCTAGACAAGGGAGAGGTAAATCCTTTAGATTTTGGGATATGTGGATGGCAGACCCCACATTCAAAACATTGTACTGGTGGGTGTCACAAGAGTATGTTCCTACTTGTACAAAATCTAAAAATTTCTCAAGGAACCACTCAAGAATCTTCATTCAACTAAGTACAGAAATGTTCATTTACAGGTGGAGGTAAGGGAGGAGTTGTTGGAGATCATACTAGTAAAAACTCTCAAGGAACCACTCAAGATTTAGTGAACAAGGAAGGGGCATTATTAGATAAACTTCACAAAGCAATCAAATCCTCTTATCTAATGAAATGCCAACAAAGCAAACAAGAGTGGATAACAGAGGGGGATAAGAACTCTAACATGTTTTATGCGTGGATCAAGAAAATGATAGTACACAATCAGATACTGGATATTCAAGATGAGGGTGGAGAGATTGTTGAAGGAATGGAGGAGATAGTCAAAGTTTTTGAGAAGTTTTACAAAAAACTACTGGGGACAAAGGTGAACACAATTAATGAACACATCCTAAAGAGAGAAAAGTGCCTGAGTATTGAACAACAAGTAGGGCTGATCAAAAACTTTACTCACCAACACTACAAGAAAAAAGGGATTTAAGGACACTAAAAAAGTGCCATCTATCATATACAATGACTCTTAGAAGAAGTGTCCTCTATCAGGGTGTCATAATAAGTCTTAAACTAGGACACATATATCGTGTCCTCTTTTCTATACAAAGACACACCAAATTCTCTTCAAAAGGCGTCCTTAAATCCATAATAGAACACCTAAAATGTGTCCTAGTATTTTACAACTCATGTCCTATTTTATATGCCATGGCACCATTTTTGTGTCTTAATAGCAATTTAAATGCGTCTTCTTTTCTATACTAGGACACCATTTGTGTGTCCTAAAAAAGCTAACTAAATGTCCTTTTTTGTATATGAGGAGAATATTTGAGTTTCCTCAGAAATGAAAATAGTCCTTGAATTAAAAAGATGACACTGATATTATCAAATGTATGTCCTTTTTTAAGTATAAAGCACATTATGTCCTGAAAAATATAGTACAATTCTTCATATCAACATTTTAATTGGCAAATACTTTATACACAAGTCATCCAATTTTAAAAGTAGACTACAATGCCAATTTACTTCAAAGTTACACTTGTACATCGTAGACTTCATATATTTAACTTGAATATAGTAATATGATCGAAATCTGTTGCACAAATGAATCAACCACCTCCTCCAACTCCACTTGAACTTCATCATTCTCAACATGAGTGCATGAGTCTTTATCTTGACCTGAAATGATCAGTATATTAAGCAAACTAATAAAACATGCCCTACTCATAAAATATCATAATAAAGTATGTGTCTGTGTGTGCCTAGAGCTATCCACTGTGCATCTTTACTCAAAATGTAAAGGCAGGAAATATCATTTTAGAAGATGTACGTATCACAAAAGTAAGACATAAATCAATTTAAATTTATCAGCAAAAAAGATTAAAGGTGCACACGGTACATGTAAGAAATAAAATATTGACCTTGCATCAGTCGGCCAGTATCACTGTACAAATTCTTAATCATGGGAAGATTTCATCATCTTCTATTAAATCTGAATGACCCCATGGTAAATTTGCAATTAATTTCAAATTCGGTGTGAAATAGAACCGGGCAATGAAACTGACCTCTAGTTCATTCTTTATGTTTTTACACCGTGCATAATCTATAGTGCTGAGTCTCTTCCAAGAAAGTAATAGAAGGTGCTATTGTTTCACTATAAGAGCACAAAAGTTTAGTTCCACAGTCATTTTCAATCACATATTTTTCATTGTATAGAATTAAAAAAATAGACTTACCTAACCACCAGGAAGATATCTCCATTCTGCCAAACCTGAATACAAAGAAATAGCATAAACGAAGCAATCCCCTATATTTAGAAACTAAAATCCAAGAAATAAACTAACAACCAGTAGCAAAAATCAGGATTCCTATTTTCACTATAAGAACACAAAATTTTAGTCGCACAATCATTCCTAGTCACACGTATGTGTCATTGTACAAAATTAAAAAGATAAACTAACCTGATCACCAACTACATTCGGAATAGACACAAGACTTACATGTATCACACAATAATTTCCATCTCCTAAAACAATATGAAAAAAATACTTGGTATATTTGGAAATGGATAAAAATGTGTATCTTCTTTGTCGAATCCAACTTGGACATGTGATCATACCGATGCAATACTAGTTCATATACATATATTCCAATCATCTTAGTTAATATTTACAAATGAAAAGCGTCTTGAGGCTTTATTGAAACATAGAATCCTTATGTAAACTGTCAATTTTAGACAAAAGCTTAGCAAACTTTAGCAAAGAAAACAACACAACTCACGGGTAAATCATAACTGAAGTACTTTGGAGAGTGGCTTCATGGTCCGGCCTATCTTGCTTTGAGCTGCTAGTTGTTCCAACATTTACGCCTGCTTAAATGTAATAATTCAACTTCAGTTTCATAGCTTTATCTACAACTACATTGTGTTTATCAACATAGATCAAATTTATTCAGCAAAATTAACATATAGAATCTGAAACAAAAAATACAATCTGAAGCATTATAAACATTATATAGATAAATTGAATGCGAAAAGAATAGTATTGAAAACAAACTGAAATAGTACACCAAGAGAATGGAGTGACAACTAGGTCATTATTTTTTGTCTTGTTTTATAACCTATTCATTACTTATTTTTAATTTTACTAAAGGACTCAATAAAAAATACTTGGAAAATCAAGATGTATGTGTAATGGTAAAGGATAGGAAGACAAAAAAGAAGTCAACCAGAAAAAGAGTTTTTGTGCATATATTGTAGAAGAAAGTGCTTTTGTATTTTCTGTTTCAAGTCAGGTTTGCATTGGCCTTTCCAGAAGCTAGCATCATTGAAAGGTACTTAGCAAGCAGTTTGCAACTTAGGATTATAAAGCAGTTTCACTTTGCATCATTGTAGAACAAGGAAAATCTACATACCCCAATGCCCACAAATTGGCATTCTCTCAAGAATGTCTTCCCAAAAACATTATAGGCGTGTCAACAATCTGAAGGCAAACATCTCATAACACATAAAACCTCAATTAAAAATCAAATGGTAAAGATACAGCCCTAGATCATTACAAACATGAATACCAAGTGAAACAAGACACACATCATCTGTTTAAAACAAAAACAGATCCCCAATTGGATTTGTTCAACTACAACAAATGCAAACTGCCATCTCTATAAACCCTTTCTCTACCCCCATAAAATACACGCCATTAACTAGAATCTAAAAAACATGGCACATGATAAAAGAAAATTTCATAGCTTCATTGACCTCAAATAAAAGAGTAAAAATGATTCGATTCAACATAACAACACAACAAACACACATTACACAACACATATTGGATTCGAAACAGAATAAAATCAATGTTTCAACATAATCAGAAGCCAACTTCAGATCTGTTCAAGCACTAAAGCATAAGTAATAGTATTAAAATAGACAACAAACAAAGTAAAACCTAAACAAGGAAGACGCAAATAAACAACTTTAATTTGAAGATTATACCACCAAACAAGAATGGACGCAGATTTTTTTTTAGTTTGGCATTGGACTCGTCGCTAAATTGTCGTCAGGTTCCCGTTGGTAGCAGCTCTAGACCGTCGCTACATCGTCGCTCCTCCATCGGAAATAAGGCGAGGGATTAGGCTCTAAACCCTAACCCCGTCATTGGCTCTTCCTCTAGGCGACGTCCCTCTCTCATGCTAATCGTGTCTGTAAAAGTAAGAGAGAAGAATAGGAGCTCGACATTTCGATCTGATTCTGAGGGGTGGTGAATCGTGGATTGCTTCGGACTCTGTTTGGATCTTAAATTAAAAACGCATAAGGTGTCATAAATAACTAATGATGACACTTTTTAAATTATGTGTCCTGTCCTTAGCCCATTTTTCTTGTAGTGCAACAAGTTAAAGAAGCCTTATTTTCAATACCCAAAAAGAAGAGTCCAGGCCTTGATGGATTTATTAGTGGGTTTTTCAAATGTCAGTGGAAAGTGGTGGGGGGAATTTTCACAAGAGTCATGTTAGACTTTTTAAAGAAGGGAAAACTCTTCAAAAAATCAATGCCACACCCATTACAATTATACCCAAAAAGTCTGATCATGTAGATCATGCTGACTATATGCCCATTGCATGATGTAATGTTGTCTGCAAAGTTGTCTCGAAGTTAATTTGTATAAGGCTGAAGGAGGTACTGCCTTTCATTATTGATCAAAATCGGGGGGGGGGGGGGCTTTTGTGCAAGGGAGAGAACACATTCACAATGTGTTGTTATGCCAAGAGATAGCAAAAGGGTACAAGATGAAAGGAATATCTCCTAAATGCATGATGAAAGTCATGAAACTGGACATCCAGAAAGCATATGATTCGGTAAGTTGGGATGCCATTCGAGGTATACTATATAGTCTCAACTTCCCAGAGCAGTTTATCAAATGGATTAAGTTCTGTGTTACTACTCCCACATACACCCTAAATATGAATGGAGGTCAATTTGGGTTTTTTAAGGGAGACAGGGGGACCCAATTTCCCCCCTACTATTTGTCTTAGGGCTATTTGGCAACTTCTGAATAGGTAAGTGCTGAACCAGTAAGAGGTCTGAACCATTAAGTGTTGAACCAGTAAGAGGTCTGAACCATTAAGAGCTAGTATATTGCTCAACTATTCAGAGGCAAATGTCTGATCAATTCAGATAAGAGGTCTTAACCATTCAGACTCTGTATAATACTTAACCATTCAGAGGCAAATCTCTTAACCATTCAGACATCTGAACCATTAAGAGGCTGAAACAAACAGTCTGAACCATTAAGTGATGAACCATTCAGACATCTGAACCATTAAGAGGCTGAAACAAACAGCCCCTTAGTTATGGAGTACCTGACCAGAAGTATCCAATATGCCACTCAAATAGAGAAGTTCTCCTTTCATCCAATGTGTGGCACAATGAAGATAGTGACCCTTTGTTTTGCTGATGATTTAATAATTGTGAGCAAAGCTGATGGCAAGTCTATTAAATGCATTATGAAGGTCCTGGAAGAATTCAAATCAACCACAAGCTTGTGCATCAATTATAACAAATCCCACATAGTATTTGGAGGTGTTAGTGAACAAAAACGGCAAGAGCTGCTTCAATTAACTCAAATGAATTTTGGCACCCTTCTATTCACTTATCTGGGCAGCCCCATTACTACTACTAGACTGAAGGCTAGTGAATGTGAAGTGTTGGTGCACAAACTGACAAGTAAGATTGATGCATGGGGGACTAGACACTTCTCATATGCAGCAAGAATAAGGATTATCAACTCTGTCTTAATGGGGATAATATTCTTTTGGGCAAGGATTTTTGTCTTACCAAAGGCAGTAATGAAGAGAGTCACTTCAATTTGCAGAAACTTGTTATGGGGCAGTACACCAATATAAAAAAGCTCCATTAGTTAAATGGGGTGAAATCTTCCAGAAAAGAAGCTTTGGAGGGCTGGGGCTGCTAAATGTGGATCACTGGAATAATGCCAACATCATAGATATTGCAAATAAAAAGGATGTGTTATGGGTATAATAGATATATTAAAAATGTTGATTTTTAGAGTTACATCCCAAGATTGGATGCTTGTCATTATTGGAAGGAAATGATTAGAGTAAGAGAAATCTTCAGAGATATGCCTAAGAGCAAGGAGTTTAGCGTTAAAGAAGGGTATGATAGGCTCCAAGGTAAGGGCACTAAACCAAAATGGAGGGATTGGGTTTGGAATAATCCAACCCCCCCGTTTAAAGTGGTGGTGTGGTTGATGCTGCGTGGAAGGCTACAAACAAAAGAAACGCTGGGTAGATTTATGAATGTGGATATGCAGTGTATTTTGAGTGGAGAAGCAACTGAGACAGATAAGCACCTTTTCTGGATGTGCCCTTATGCGCAGAGGATATACCAGTTTCAGGCTTTCACTTCATATCACACGGGTGGATGATTTGGAGAAGATTCTGCTGAAGACTAAAGGAAAGCTACAATGAAGGAAAATCATAATACTATGGGCTGCCTGTGTGTACAATATTTGGAGATCAAGAAATAGGATTATGCGCCAGAAGAGGGCTACTAGGGTTGTGCATTATTCGGTCCAAATCCGGACCGACCCGAAGACAAACCAAAACCGGACCGGACCAGTCCTAATTTGGTCCGGTCTCCGGTCCATCAATTTCCTTTATCCAGGTTCCGGTCTGGTCTGGTCCAAACCCGGTGAGGCCGGTGGACCGATTATATCATTTATACGGGTTTATGGGCTGTGGAGGAGAAGAGGACTACGGAGGAGGATACCAAGGCTTATGCCTCATCCTATATGTTTTCTTTCTTTCTATTTAAAAAGGTGGAAGGCTTTGGGTTGATTAATGTTGACAGTTAGATATGGTTTGTAAACATTGTTTGAAGTGGGTAATAAAATTTGTGTTTTCTGTTAAAAAAAGAGAAAAAGTAAGGGTAAAAGTGGTTTTTTTAATAGAAAGTGGAAGTGTTTTGGTGGAAGATAAAAAAATGAAAGAGGAAGTGTTTTGGAAAAGAAAAGGAGTAAAAGACTTAGAGTCTATTCTTTAGGACTGGAAAAAAGAGCTGGATGTTGGAAGAAACTGGAAGAAACTTGAAGAAACTGGAAGAAATTGGAAAAACTGAAAAAAATTAAAAGAAACTGAAAAAACTGAATAAAATTGAAAAATCTTAAAAAACTTTTAAAAAAATTTATGTGTGGTTTTATATTATTCTAATTCTTATTCCTGTTGTTATAAATTATTATTATTATTATTATTATTATTATTATTATTATTATTGATGGTGTAAATTATGTGACCGGTCAAACTATACTAGACCGGGTCTAGAATAGTTTGCTTGATTTGGCAAAGTAAGAAAGGTAAAAACACGCAGATTGACCGGTAGGACTTTAGGTGGAACACCTGTAGCCCAATTTATATTATAACGGAGAATGCACGGGTGCTTTTACAAGGGAGTTAGAGAGAATGAATTCGGATCCCTCTTTCTGAGGTTTACATGAGTATTTATACTAGGCTATGGGGGACAAGACCACATGCGCCCACGTGGGAGCATGCTGCTGATGTGGTGCGAGGTGACTGGTTTCGTCCTCGAGCTGCCTTGTCGCCTTGTGAGGGGGGATTATTCCCTTTGTCGAGTAGTGCCTTGGATGGATTCTTCAGCATCTCCAGTTGTCCTCTACTGACATGGGTCGCTACACGCCAAGCCCTCTTAGATTCTCTTCTGCCGACACTTTCCAACCCTAGAAATTACACCGGGTAATCTCCGAGGGATGAATTCATTGAAGTCTGGGAATAAATAGGGTGACAACGTAGTTTGACCGGTATACTTTTTCGTGAAGTATACCGGTCATCTTTGGGCCGATTATATATCGATTTGCTGACGATTTAAGTTTCCCTTCCAAAACTTTCGAGATTGACCAGTCAACTAATTGGTCTTCTCCTTTGACCGGTCGTGGGTGGAATACACCCATCAATAAGCCCTCCACTTCTCGGTCATGCAATTTATCATGAGTGGGAAGTAAAAAGTCTGAAATAGGACTCCAATTTTGAAATTTTGGCCCTTCCCGCCCAAAATTTTTGAAATTTGAATTTCAAACTTTGATTTTTGCCACGTGTCGCGCATCAACCGTTGCAATCAGTCGGCTGCAAACCCGTCGTTTCGCCTGCCAGTGGGTCATCATTGCGCCGCCTGACGCGGCGCAACCTAAGGAGGCCACGTCGCTCCTTTCAGCCCTCCTTTTCCTATATAAAGGCCTCCACCCCTCTTCCTTGTTCACTTTCCGCGATCAAGTCTCACAGCTTTCACCGGTCAAGTTCCTTCTCTTCGCTATCCAGCCCTCCGAGTCAAGTAAGTTTCCCCTTCCTTCTCTTTTTTCTTTCCCGGCCATGTCTTCTTTTAGCGATAGGATCTCGTCCTCAGAGGACTGCTCCTCCGAGGACTCCAACTCATCTTCCTCGACCGGGTCTTCTTCTCCTGACTCCACGCTCAGTCAGGTTCCCAACTCCTCTATTCCCGACCCGCATCCTGTTAATCAGATGCCCGGTGAAAATTTCATGGGGAGGGATGACCCGGTCGATGACGAACCGGGTCCCTATGACCCTGAAAACGAAACCCAGGATGCGTGGGAGGAGCGGCTTAATGCTGCCGGTTACTTTCCGCTCCCCATCTTCTACGTCCTTGACATCCCTTCCCGTGTATCCAAAATCGCCTTGAATAAAATTCGTAGGAGGCTCCCGGATGGGTATACCCTCCTGTATGAACCCAACTGGCCCAACATTGTCGAACCCCACCGGGAGGATAGGATAGGGTTCCATACCATATCATTGGATGCGGGCATAGTTTTTCCCCTTCGCCCCCTCCTAACCGAAGTATGCCATGCGTTTAGGATTTTGCCCGGCCAAATAACTCCTAACGCCCACCGGTATCTTCATTCCTTTGTAAATATATGTACTCATCTAAAAATCTTCCCCTCCTTGCGTCTTTTCCTTTTTTGCTTTGAAGTCCTACCGGGCGGGACTGGCTGCGAAGGTTTTGTATTCTTCAAAGCCCGTACTGGTAAGAAGTTTATTTCCGAAGTCCCCCAGAGTAACCAGAGATGGAAGGAAAAATTTATTTTCATCGAGTTTCCCCCCTTTGTCACTCCTTTGGCCGGTCTGAAATGGAACGACCATCTCCTCGACCAAGAGTATGCTGCACCGGCTTCCTCTCAGACTTGGAAGCGAATCTTGAGGTCCTCATGCGCGGGGATCCTTTCACCGGGAGGATCTTCCATTATGGCAGCTGGGTTTGGAGGGTGGAGTCGGGTGGTGAGGGTACCTCCCAGGCCCATGAAGCAGCGGGGCGCGGGGTACCCTCCCCGGGCAACACTGCAGAGGCTGAGGGCCATAACCATCCAGATACTTTTCACTCTTCTTTCGATTTGCGCTTTGACCGGTACCATTGCTTGTACTTAACGGTTTTAGCTACTTTTGTAGATATGGAGTTTGAAGAGTTCGCCATCCCCGACGACCAACCAGCGGGAGAGACCGGGGGCTCCCAAGCCAACCCTGCCAAAACCTTCCCGGTCCACCAGGAGACCGTGGAGATTTTGGATGAGGACGAACCCCAAGATAACCGGTCCAAGGGGAAGGAGAAAGAGAAAACCGGTTGTCGGGCCAAGAAGGTGGCCACCACGCATCCTTCTTACGCCAAGAAGAGGGCAAGGTCAAATTCTGAGCCGGCCGGCCAGACCATCGAAGAGGCCTTCATCAATCTTGGGCTGAGGCTAAAGGAGGTAAGTTCTGCTGCTATCCCGGTCTTGATCTCCTTGTTAAACAGTTCGAAAATCTTACCGGGCTATTTTTCTTTTTGTGCAGGCGGGGGAGATTGGACCCCTCACAGCTGACCGGCTTGGTTTAGGCTCTCCTTCGGAGTTTGCCCGGCTGAAGAAGGAGAAGGAGGAGATGGCTCTCATCATGAAGAGCCAAGCTGATGAGCTGACCAGGCTATCCGGGCTGACCGAGTCGATGAGGGCGGAGATCTCTCACCTCAAGGAGGAGAATGGTCGGCTGATGGACGAGGTGTTTGAAGCGAAGAGGGAGATGACGGAGAAGGAAGAAACCTTCCCCGGGCGCGCAGCTGCCTGGGTGGAAGAGAAAAAGCTGAAGCTGCCCGGGTGATGACGGCGACTCCAGAGACCACGATGGAGTCCTTCAGGCTTCTATACCGGGAGCCTGAAGGAAGGAAGATGATTACCGCGATTGGATCCTTCGGACCGGATCGCCTCTCACCGGGTACTGCTCAGAAGAGATCCGGACTTCACCGCTGCATCCTACGGCCTGGCCTCAATCCCGGAAGAAGAGCCGACTCCCCCCTTCCCCCTTGACTAATCTCCCCGGCTGCACCCGGTTATTTTCGTAAAACTTTGAGCAGAAATTTCCCCGGGTATGCCCAGCGTACTTGTAACCATTTGACATTTCCAAATTTAAATGCCATGTTTGTTTTCCTACCCGGTTAAGCTTGCTTCTTGGTTGATGTTTTCATTTTTGCTCCTTAGAATGTCTTCGCAAAAACTCTGACCGGTTATACTTTCCTGTAATCGAAATAGACCGGTTGAGCCCCAACTTTCACTTTTGAATGTCTTCATCTCCGCTGGTCATCTTGAAAAATTTCGACCGGCTGAACTTTACTTTGGCTTTTGGATACCTTCATGTTTCCAGTTTGACAGGTACGTTCAACTCCATGATCTGCCCGGTCATCTGCCTTGCCTTGTGGAACTTCCGAAGTTCTGTTGTGCCCATACCCGACCGGGGTATTCCCTTTTTTTTTGTTTGACCGGTAGGTTGTAGATGGAAACACCTGTAACCTAGTAATTCTTGAAGTATCCTTAACCGGTAAGAATACTGGAGATTTAACCATGTCGAATGGTTTCGAACTCTCTCCAAGGTTCAAATGCACCCTTCTTCCAGGGCCCCCTCTTCCGGGTGATTAAGTCTTTTAATGGCCCTTTAATTTCTACCATCCCGGGAAGGCCTTAGCTCACCCCCACGTTCAAGTCTTCCCTGAGAAGGGGGAAACAGGATGCGCCACGGTGGACGATCCCCTTCTATTTCTTTTAATGGGCATCTTTTAGTCCCCAATCAATTTGACGGTACTGGCTGATTCCCCGATACCGGTCAAACCTTATGGGCCCGTGTAAGTACGGTTCGAACCTTCTTCCAAGTCCAGCCCTCTTGCAGGCATACCCTCTTCCGGGTTTTAATATTTTTTCTATTAGACTGAGCAAGACCGGTGTAGTAACCAGCGTGCCAGGTCCGGGCCTGTGTCTCAGTTGGCTTATCCAAGTGGATTCGATCCACCCGGGAAGCCCTCCTATGATATGTTCGACCTATCAATTCCGCCGCTACCAAGTAGAGTATTGATGCTCATTTTGATTGATAATGCAGTTAGGCCTCGCCTAGTATTACAATCATTTGTAGAACATGCGAAGATGGTGGGAATTCCAAGTTCTTTCTATCGGTACACCATCTAAAGTTTCTAACCGGTATGTTCCTGGTCGAATGATGGCTCTAACCCTGTATGGGCCTTCCCAATTTTTTGCCAGCTTTCCTCGATCGCCGGGTCTACTTGCTTCTCTTCTTCGTAAGACTTCATCTCCAACTTGGAAGTAACGTGGTCCCACTTTGTTGTCGTGGTACTTCTTCACAACTTGTTGGTATGTACTCATTCTCACTTCTGCCGCCATCCTTCGTTCCTCGACCAAGTTGAGCTCGGCTAGATGGTCCTCTTCATTTTGTTGGGGTTGATAATTTGATTCCCTGAATGTTGGGAATTCAGCTTCGATGGGCAGCCTTGCTTCACACCCATAGGTTAGGGAGAATGGAGTTTCCCCATGAGCCCTCCTAGGTGTTACTCGGAATGCCCATATGATGTGTGGGAGCTCCTCTAGCCACTTGTTTCCTGCTTCTCCCAGCCGTTTCTTCAAACCATCTACAATAGTCCTATTGGCATTTTCGACTTGGCCATTTCCTTGGGGATACGCCACCGAAGAGCGATTGTGCTTGATTCCGAAGCCCTCCAAGTATTCGGTGAACCTTGGATTTCGGAATTGTGGGCCGTTGTCGGTGATGAGGTTCATGGGCGCTCCAAACCTCGTGATGATGTTCTTCCAAATGAATTTCTTGCATTGCTGCGTGGTGATGTTGGCCAATGCCTCGGCCTCGATCCATTTGGTGAAGTAATCGATGGCTACGATTACGAACATCTTCCCTCCTTGGGCGACTGGAAAGGATCCAATGATATCCACCCCGAATCTAGCGAACGGGATGACGTTTGATACGGGGTGATAGTAGGTCGCCGGTCTACCGGGATACTTGTAGAGTACTTGGCACGTCCTGCATTTCTGAACGTACCTCTCACAATCCTGGACAATTGTTGGCCAGTAATACCCCAACAAGATGATGCGTTGGGAAAGCATACGGGACATTTGATGCGCCGCGCATACGCCTTCGTGTACCACCGCTATGACTCGCTCAGCCTCCTGGTTGGTTAGACATCTCAGGAGTGGCCCCCCAAATGCCCTTTTATACAGTTTTCCATCAAGAACCTGGAATCGGGGTGCCCTGAGCTTCACTTTTCTTGCCTGGTCATCTTGTTCTGGCAAGCTCCCATCCATCAAATATTCCATCAGATCATACATCCAATGGTCGTCTGCCTCGACCAAGTTTGACCGGTCAGATTGGTGTGCTGCTGTTATAGCGGTGACTTCCAATTTTTCGATGCTGGCTCGATCCAGGATTTCCACCCGGGCAAGTTTCGAAACATGCTCGGGAGCATACTGCGTCAACTTGGAGAGAAGGTCTTCATCCGCGTTCTCCGCCCGGGGAATTTGGGCGATCTTGAATTCCTCGAAGCCTTTCAACAGGGCGAGCACGAGCTCCTTGTATTATGCCATGCGTCCTTCCCTTGCTTCCATGTTACCGGTCACTTGCCCAACAATCAGGCTAGAGTCAGATTTGATACTGACCCGGCTGATTTTCAGGGCTTGGGCAAGTCTGAGCCCTCCAGCCAGAGCTTCATATTCTGCCTCATTGTTCGTCAGCTTGAAGTTGAAGACGATTGCATGGTAGATCTTGAACCCTTCTGGGTGGTGAACACGATACCACCCCCGTATCCTCTAGGACCGGATGCCCCATCAACTGCCATCTCCCACCATTGCTCAGTGGGCTTCTTGACCGGAAGGTCTGGAGTTAGACCGGTCATTTCTACCAAGAAGTCAGCAAGGGCTTGTCCCTTGATTGCTGACCTTGGCCGGTACTCAATGTTGAATTGAGTTAACATCATCGCCCACTTCACCATCCTCCCGGAGGATGTTGAATTTCGCAACACTGCACCCAGCGGTTGGTCAGTCAAGACTTCCACCGGGTGAGCTTGGAAGTAGGATGTTAACTTTTTTGCGGAGATAAAAAGCGCATAGGCTGTCTTTTCCATCACCGTGTACCTACTCTCAGCTCCGTTTAGTGCTTTGCTCACATAGTAAATGGGCTTTTGTGCCCCATCATTTCTTATTAAAATGGAGCTTAAAGCATTTGGGCAAATTCCCAGATACAGATACAGAGTTTCACCCGGTTCGGGTTTAGACAATATAATATCTGACGCTAGGTACTCCTTCAGCTCCTCAAATGCCCTCCGGCATTCTTCGTCCCATGCAAATGTGTTGGCCTTCTTCAGAACTTTGAAGAAGGGTAGGGATCTCTCAGCTGACCGGGAAAGGAACCGGCTGAGGGCCGCTAGACGACCGGTCAACTTTTGAACATCCCTAACAAAGGTAGGGGCTTGCATTTCAGTGATGGCCCGGATTTTCTCTGGGTTGGGCTCTATTCTTCTCTTGGTTACCATGAATCCCAAGAACCTCCCAGTACGAACCGCGAAGAC